GATTTATACTTTTTTATTGTCGTCTTTGTTTGGTATATACTTTTCTTAAAATTCAACACGCTTTGATTTATTTATTATACTAGTAAAAACTCAATGCGTGACTTTTGATGCTTTTATTTGAAATTCAAATAATTTTATTTGAAATTATAATTAATAAAATTGATTGTAATATAATGCGAGGTTAATGTGTAACTTTTGATGCTTTTATTTAAAATTTCTTACTAGTTTCCAAGTTTCTGCACAATAATATACACGAAGTAATAAACAATAAAAATATATATATGTAAAAAAATGTAAGTATCGAAGATAATATTAAAATTATTATTTATAAAAATTATGAAATATTCATCATGATAAAGATGTGCTTCAAGGATTATGTTAATATTAAATTAATATTAAATCTCAAAATAAATAAATAATTCAAAAGTCAAAGTCGAAAAAGTTGTTTGAAATGTTGATTTCTATAACATATTCAAAAATTCAGAACGAAATTAAGAATGTCTTTATTATTATAATAATTAATTAATTTTACAATGGCTTTGGATATACAATTCTCTAAAAAATTTTATTTCATACGTATATTATAACGTCTCTCGAAGTTATGCTTAGAATTTTTTTATCTTTTATCGATTTCCGCCCACGAGTGTTCAATGAGGTTAATGTCCGGACTTTAGGTAGGAGTATACAACGTATGATGTGCACAGTATAACTTGCAATATCCATTCTCTTATAATTTAAATATAAACTCATATATGTTCGTCATTGTTATCGTGTTATTGGAAAAAATTTTATGGTATAAATAACTTCAATTTTGTGATTTTTCCTTTTAGATTCTTTTTTTAAATAAAATTATATTTATCTAAAATGTCTTTTATGAAAATAAAATTTCCACTATATAAGATTTTCATCACTTACTACTATGTATAATATCACGAAACTATAATTATATTTTACCATTTTTCGTAAATCTTTAGTTTCAATCAAGTTTTACTACGTATTGTAAATATTCTGAAAATAATTTATATAGTTCAAAAATCTATCTATTTAAATTTTCAATTGACAAATCAATAATAATTATGAATTAGTTACTTAATTGAAAATTTAAACAATAAAAAGATTTTCGAATTATTTAAATTCAATACATTTATATTTACGTTTCAATATATTTTATATATTATAATTTTTAAAGAATATGATTTATGTTCGTGATCTAAATATTTTTTTATAAAAAAATACCAAAAAAAATTTCAATAATTTATAACTTCGATTCTAATTTAACATAGATATAGATTCTCATCTATATCTTCGATCCTTTCACTACATTTTCTCCCGTCATGTTTAAAGAACTGTTAAGCGATTATGGAATGAAATATTTAAAACTCGATAAAGAAAATACGTATCATTTATCATATTGATCGATATGTGTTAAACCATTTTTCTTAAGAGTATTATAAATTTTTTTGCATACCATTATAATATATCAAGTAAATAGCATGAGAGAAGTACGAGAAATACGTTTTTTATTTCTTGTTTTTATAATTGATTGACCTCTCTCAAGGTTATTGATTCAATCGAAGCAACTCGTATAGTAATATATTGCATGTAAATAGCTAGGATAAAAATAATATTGCGTGTTTTATCAGCTATTTATAGCACCCTAAGGAAAAGATCAAAGAAATTATTACAAAAAAAAAAGGAAAAATTTTGTATTTAAAAAAAGTGCATTTCATTTTTATCTTTTTTTTCTTTCTTATTATTTTATTTTTAAAATTATAAAATAAATAATTTTGAATAATTAACGTTTTGTTAAAATTGTTTTATAAATAGATATAAAAAGAAAGTTAATTCAAATTCATTTAACTTATTGTTACATATTTTCTTGTAATAATAAAACGGAAAGAAAGGATAATTAAAAGTTTCTTCTAATCTTTTTTATATTTGTATATATATATATTTTATATAAAACACGCAATATCATTATTTCCTTATGATTGCAAAATTATTTCCGTTATATCATGGAGAGCCAAAGTTGTAAATTTTATCGTTCTACAGCATAAATTACAAATCGTGAAATGGATAATTATATATGCTGTAGCAATATTTGTTTATAAAGTTATATTTTGTTTGTAAGATTTCGGTTTCGATAAATGAATCATCATTGATATTGCGTGTTTGCGTATACAATCCATTATACATATTTACACCCAAGAACAATATTCGTACATATATATATATATATACACGTAAATCATATTTATCTTTAATCAACATTATTTATATATTCTTTTGGAATTAATATATCTCGATATGTTTCGCGTATCCTTGTTTCCTCTCAAAATATCCTTCAAATACATTAACATTTTTATGCTACATCTAAATCTTAAAATTTCAAAATAACCGAATAAAACATTCCTCTCTCCCCCTCCCCCCAAATCAATAAACTACTCTAAAAGGATATTCCTCATAATGAATGATTATATTTTATATTTTCATTTTTAACGATCTCCCCCCTTCTACATACACATCAAAGCCTCGTATTTTTTTTTTTTTTTTTTTNTTTTTTTTTTTTTTTTTTTTTTCCTCCACTTTAACCGAACCGCCACAAAGAAGGCAATCTTTTCGCAATTAAAAGTTTCGTTAATGAACTCGCCTAATCGATACATCATTATCGGGATGATATACATATATATATATACACACGTGATATAACGGTAGTAGCGGTTCACGATGCGGAAACTTCGCCGATCCGCCATAGAGAAAATACATTTTAACAGCGGGGAGAGAGGGGAGGAGGATGGGGAGGAGGCGGTTTGTCGGCTGCACAACTTCGACGTCCTACCGTTGCCACCTCGTCCTGAATAATTCATCGTTCAGCATCTCGAAATGGTCGGGTTTTGCCCTGTAATATATCGATAACCATATTCCTCCTCGGAGCGAACCAGTCAGTCTCGAGTAATCGCTATGGGGATCTCGTACCTGTCGCTCGTATCGATCCGGCCGCCGCCGTTGCATTGTTTTTCCAGACGGTTCCGGGGAGGTCGTTTTTCTCGTTTTCAACAGATGCACGTAGCTAGATGGGAAGAGTATATATGAGTGCATTATATAGGGGAATTTAAGTGGCTCGAAAATGCTGATTTTTAATGAAACGGATTGAATAGTAATTTTTTTCTTTTTTACTTTTTTTTTTCTTGGTGATTTTGAAGGGGGTGAAATTAATTTGAGTTAATAATCAAATTAAATTTTGGAAAAATTTCCTTTCGAAATTAATTATGAATGAAATCTAAGTTTATAGATATAGGGAGCAATTTTCTTTTTTGAAAATTTTTGTTTTTTGTTTTTGTATTTTGAATGAAATTTTATATATATATATATATATATATATATATATATATATATATAAATTGCTTATAAATTTGCGTCATTACAGAGTTTAAACAAGCGAAAAATTTATTAAAAGTTTTGATATTAATAAAAATAAAATAATTTCATTTTCTTGACATTCTGTTAAAGTGAAATTGCTCCACGTAATTTGACACGAAAATTATATTAATGGTTGTTATTAACAGATTTTCCGTGTATATGGAATGTTTAATCCTATTTTTTAATATAATACAACTATTATTCTAAAATATAAATTATGGAATTTTATATTTTCAATCTTCTTAAAATCTGATTTATAATTTAAATTGTAATAATAGTTTGAAGAATTTTTCTTCATGAAGAATGCAATACATTAACTTACATAGTTTTGACAATTTTTAATTTACATTTGAAAGTTAAGATATTAAGATATTAAGTGGACTTATTTATAATATATTTTTTCGGCAAGATGAAAAATTTTTGTTTTGCAAATTAAATTATTTAATAATAGTGATAATTATTAAATAATTAGATAGATATGTCATATCTAATGTAAAGATATAATATATATATATTTTTTAAATAATTAATAGAAGCATATCATATCATTTGCTAATAAATGTTTTTGTCATAGACGAACTCAGAAAGCAATACCATTTTTTCTTCTATTGTCAAATTTGCATCTCCCATTACCAATGCATGCACATATAAACGTATTGACGTTGGAAATTGTGATACATTAATAATACATTGTTGCAAACGGATGTAATTGCTTATAAATTGTCGTCACGCAACTATTGAACGTGGCGAGAAAAATAAATTCTGATAATTAAAAGTAATAATTGAATGGAAAATTGACACGTGTCGAAGGAAATGCACGTAAAAAACAATTTCTCTCGCATTATTTCAACATTTTCATTTGCAAAAATGTTTCTTTAATTAACTTAGAAAAAAATTATTCGAATATAAATAGCAAAATTAAAATTATTTTTCAAACACAAAATATAATGTATGTTTTAATGTAATAATTAAGATTATTTGTGAAAATAGTAAATAAAGTTTTATCTAATTTCGAATAATTATTATTTCTTATCTCAAACTCTTAAAAATCACTCGTATTGTAATCTTAAAATTATACATTATACCTTTGTCAATACAATATTCTGTATTGTACACTTATATAATTAACCTTTCAAAACGTAATAAAGATATCTTATATCATTCTCATCTTTGTTTACATAATACACGGTAAAGTTCATTTACATAAATCTTTCTAATCCATCCATCTTTCACGTAAACAGATTAACTGCATCGACTTTAAGTTTTTCAAAGACACTTTAAGATATAAAAGGCAACGTTGCAATTTTTTTTTCACTTACAATAATTTTCTCCAACGCGATATTTTTTTAAAATGTTATTTATATAACTTTATTTATATACATCGATCCACACATATCCGAATTACCTTTTTGATACTTCAAATAAATATTCTTATTTAATAAGAAACTTTCTTATTTAAATAAGAAACCGCTTGAAAATCGTCAAAGAAAAAAAAAAAGCGCGAAGCGAAGAAAAATTAATTTCTAAAAAAAAGAAAGACTTAGAAATTTAATTGACGTCAGCGAATCGATCTGTTTCAGTAGCGGGATGGTGCAAAGTGTCGGTGCTAATTTATCCCCGGACCAAACATTCGGATCGATTCGATCGCTGTCAGTTACGAGAGAAGTGGCCAGTTTCCCTCTGTCGAGAACGCCTACGCCGCCCCCGCAACACAGGTGGGTAATTTTTCCCTATTTCTCGCTCGATAAATATGGCTTTACGCGTAACACACCCCGTATAATACGTTAAATTCGAAAATGCGGGCCTCGTGAAGGGAAAAAGATTGAAGGAAAAAAAACATTTTTATATTTTTCGCGAAAATTCTCGAAACTGTTGAGTTTCGAGAATTTTGCAAAATGGAGGTACTTTGGTTTGGATACTGGTTACGTTGCACGAACACGTGCGATAACTAAAATTGATTTTATTTGGTTACTGTAGCTTGGCTACATTCCACGTGTTAGAATATTGGTTAACACATGCAAATACAAAGCTTCATAACGTGGCTCGGATGAAGTATAGTATTTTAGAATATTACCTTTTAAGATTGATTTTACGGATTAGATTTCTTGTTACTTTTGTAATTAACTTCACCTTGTGAATATTTATGTATTCGAATATTTTTTTTTTCTTCTTCTCGTGTTTACCCATGACAAAGATTTTTTATTTTATTTGCAGAGTTGATAAAATAATTGGAAGAATTTAAAATTAATCGTGATCATGTTTATTTTTAAGAATTATTGATACTAGTTATAAAATGCAATGAATATTACATTTGGATCAATTGTTTTTGAAATTATTTCAATCATAGAAGAATAACAATCGTTGCATAACCTCGAAAACTTTTCAAAATCAATTTTTCTCGAAAGAGAAAAGTGGAAAGGAAAAATATACATATGATGGTCTTTTCTTAATCTCACTGCGCTTTGTTTTCACTTCTACAAATATTATTAATTTTTCAATCCTTAAAAAACTCGAGAAAGAGAGAGAGAGAGAGAGAGAGAGAGAGAGAGAGAGAGAGAGAGAGAGAGAGAGAGATGGCAAATAAAATTTGCTGATCCTAAAACAAACTTATTCCCACTCAGACAGATACATACTTTCCTTTAAACGATATAAATCAGATTCTGGGAAAGTTTTCCCTTTGAGAAAAGCTAGAAGTAAAAGTTCATCCATTCCATTTCGACTTCACACTATAGGACGCGACGTGAAAGCTTTCCGTGCTTCGAGGACATTGGTAAAACTACTTTCAAAACTGCGTTATACGATTCTAAACTTGGTGAAAGAAGATATTACATCTCGCCATGTTGGAAAATATTAATGCACTTCATGATTGGAAAATATTCTGGACAAAATATCCTTCGTGGAAATCGTTAAACAGTGAATAATGGGTGTCCAGTAAATTTTTTTTAAAACGTCAAATAAATCTGCCTCGAGATACCTCGTGTATTCTTGTCATTAATGGTACACACTTTCATTCTCTTAACGTGATTTACATAGTTCAAGAATCTCTTTATTCTTTAAACTTTCACAAGTCAATTAAGTTACCATTAAATTATTGAAACAGTACGTTTGATTAATTTATGAACTGAAAGTTTAAACAATAAGAAGATTTTCAATCGTATAACTCATTTTTAAGATAAAATAAATACTTCCAAATATATCAATTAAATAAGTATCTTTAAATTTATTGAAGGATTATAAAATATTCTTCATGTTAGAAATATCAAATAAATTTGTATGTAAAATATCGTGTATTTTTTTCATTAAATATATCAATTCAATTAGTGTCTTTAAATTGGAAAATAAAATATTCTTTAAATGATATGTATAATATAATATATAAAAGTATGATTAATAAATTTTTTAAGAGTATTAAAAAATTAAAATTAATTAAAATAATTTCATTTGCACTTAGATTTATAAAAAAATCTAAACTGAAAGTTTTGTAATACTGTATAAAATAAAAAAAATATATTATTATTCGTTACTTTCTTGCAAAAGTTGAAGTCGAATTCCCAATCGATCTATCATCTCCGACAAAAACAAAAAAAGGATCGATCATTCAAGAATTTGATCACGTATTAATAGGTAACAAACATATCTTCGTAAGAAGATATTTTTGCATGCATAACTCGTGGTGAAACGCGTTTCGCTTTTTTAACAATATAATATATATCCACGATGTAATTGTAATTTTTTCCATGGCTGATACGATCTTTGCTGCATAAGAATTCACAAGACAATAGAGAAAAAAAACATCTTTTGTTTCATTTGTTACGCAATTTGTGCATACAACCTGTGTACTTGTACATGGCTTACTATAATATATATACTCGAGGTGATACGTTAGCATGAAAATTGAACTAGCTATTATGTAAACAGACCTATTATATTTCAATCGTATTTCCTTTTATTTCCTCTTTCGTTTTATTAATGTCCATCATTTATTATTTTTCGTTTTAATAATAATAACCATCTAAGTATTATTATACTACGCTTTATCAGCGAATAATTTATTTATTTTACAATATTAGAGATATTCACGAAGATTTCGAAGATGTAGAAATTAGAATTAAATATTGTACGTTTGTTATTTTTTTTTTTTTATTTATTTTATCGTATCTATTTTTCAATTTAATAATTTTTAAGTAAGGCTAGATAAAGATATTGAGTTTGAATTGATATATTTTCTTAATGAGGAAGATACAAGTTATTTGTTTAAACAATTTATTGAATATGGATAGAGATATATATATATATAATCTAAATCTGTTCCTTCTTAAAAGATTCATTCGTGCTTTTACTTATTTTTTTAGACTCTAAGAAAACATTTGCTGGCGTAATGTAAATAAAGAAAGGATATACAATAGTAAAGATTCGTATGAAACGAGAATTGATTTATTAATAGAAATTTCTAATTTCATTAATGGAAAAGAATAAAATAATAACATTGGAAAGTAAATTATTGTAAATTGTAAATTAATTGTTAATTTGAAAAAGGAGATAAAGAAATTGCTTACAATTAAATAAATAAATTCATGAATCAACATTTTTATATTTATTTTGATCTTTAGAATCGATCCTTCAAAAGTGACCTACGAATACATTAAATTTATATTATAAAACGTTTATTGATAACATTTAGATTTAATCTTTAAAATTAGATAGATAAAATTACATTTTAAATTTTATATTTCATATGAATTATTAAAGTTTAAATATTTATAATTTAATATATATATATAATTAAATATTTATATATAATTATATATAATTAAATATTTATAATTTTCGTTCATTATTAAATAACGAATAAGATTTCAATCTAAATCTTCATATTCAATATAATCAAATCAAACAGGACGATTTCCAAACTCTTTTGAATAACATATGTACGATACAGACCTCGTATTAAATCCTTCGAACGTTACTTTGAAAGAAAAAGAGTAAAAAAAAATTGGCAATCTTACGCATTATAAATTTAAAATTTTTTACTAGTCTCATTATTTTCTTGCTTCAGCATTATACATTACGTACATTCCATCTCATACCAATATTCTCCATCTTTGATCTTACGCTCCACAAATTGTTCCTCGCGAAGCAAGTGTTCAATTAGGTCGAAGTTATACATACGTGTATATACATGTATACGTACGTGTATAATAATATAGGAAAAATATGAAATTCATCGAAGCGAAACGAGACATAAGTCCATTCCTTTTTTTGATGTTTCTCGATATTCCCCCGTAATATAAATCGTTATACCGTAAGACAGAAAATCCTATTTACCTCTATAAGTGGGTAGGCAGATAATTTATGATCGTTGTACGATAGGTAAAAAAAGAAAGAGAAAAAATTAACAACCTCGAGGCCAAGAATTTTAACGAGGTTGATCGATACTCGAGGAAATAAAAGTACCAAACTTGAGAGTAAAAAAGAAAAAATTTACGAATAGAATCGATATCGACGTCCATTGATTTTCGAAACTTCGGCCAAGGTTCGACGCTATTGTTTTCGTATTATTAACATGAGTCGGAAAGATTAATACGTATCCGAATGTAATTTTAGAATTAATTTGCATGCATTGACCTTAGCCCGACTTTTGAAATGAAAATTGGAATTTTAAATATTTGGCTTTCGAATGTTATTAATTCGAGGAAAAATAAGAAATTTTTTTACGCGATAAGATAAATTTAGGATCGAGCAAAAAATTTATATTTTTATAAAAAAGAATCATTGCAAATTGATAAGATTTATTTTTTTCTCTTGATATTATTCGTGTCAGCTAAGCTTTCATTGTATGCCAATAATTCAAATTATAGAATAATATAGAACTTATTTTTATATATAGAAAAGGTAAAAATAATGAAAAATTTTTACAAGAATTAAGCATCATTCTATATCACAATTACTATAATCATATGTTTTGATATACTTCTCGTATATTTTCTTATTTTTTCATCGATATCATATATCATATTTTGAGTAAATCATCCGTAAAATACGATAACACGTTGAATGACGTGAGAAACATAAAATAAATTGTATAGTATATACAATACATATTATAATTCAGTCTTGCAAATGAGGCGAAAAAAAATTGCGATGGTTTATTATACAATGGCAAAATTCGGAACAGAAAAAGATTCCTCGAGCTCTTTTTTTCTGATATGTTAATATATTCGTGGAAAATCTTTGGATCGATTCTGAAGGCCAAAACAAACACATTAAAATGTCAGAATAATTACTTAAAATATCATACTGCGATCTTGATGATTTTTTAATATGGTGTTGAGATCATCAGCATAAACAGTGAAGATTTTACTTGGCAATTGTTTTAAAAAATTATTAACAAAAACGTTTCTTCTCGAAATAATTCGAAAACTATTAACAGTTTTTACTTAATTTTGATTTAAAGTGAAATTAAACTTCGAACAAAAATTTATTTAATTTCTCCCTTTACGATTTATATTGGATTTGACTTAGCTTGGATCAAGTTAATAAACAATCTCCAAGCAAAAACAAACATTATTCAATGACTTTGACAACACGTTAGAAAAACATCATCAAGATCAAGGAAAGAAAAAGAAATATCTTTTTAGCAAATATTTACCACAATTATTTTTAAATTATTTATTGAAATAAATTTCGCCATCCAGTTCCTTTAGATCTACAAAGTTTCATTTCTTCACAATTGTGCATAAATATAAATATGCATAAATGAGAAAGTAACGATGATTGATGAAATTTTTCATTCCTTTCTTTCATCGACACGATCGAAATAAAAATACAATAGGTGATCGTGTCTTTTAGATCATGGATGAGAAATTTCCAATAAATTAAACCGTGAAATGGAATACTTGATTAGAAGCGAATTCATCAAATATATCTATTTACGTAATTAGAATGAACAGTGTGTGTTACACACTCTTGGCAACATTATACGCGAAAATCAACAACACCATAGTATGAACGTACCTAAGTCTGATAATGCCGATATTGCAATTGATTTTCGAAACGCGCCAATGATATTCTCATTAATTGGCACAGCTGTTCATTCTTCGACTGTCAAATTCATTTTCAAATCCTGATTCAACCAATTGAATTTTCGTTATTCAGACTTTTATTATTAAATTATTATTATTATTATTATTGAATTTCTCTAATTATTTTTCATTTTTCGCAAATTACAATTTTTCAATTATATTCTATATGTGAAATATGTAGACTTGTGACTGTTGATATTATTACAAATATCGATATCATTAAAATAACGAATAATTGAATTTTCAATTTTTTTAATAGTATTTTAATAGTATTTTAAGTTTGGATAAAAAAAGAAAATTTTAATCAATTCATAATTGAAGACGTTTAATCCATCTGTAAGAATTAAGAAAGACTAAATTTAAATTTTTGCACTCTTTTCTTTCCATTCTCTGTTTGTCTTTATTTGACAATATTCCGTATGAAATAACAATTCAAAGAAATTATAAAGATTGTGGAAAATATTTCAAACTGAAAGTTTCATCGAAGATATAAATATTTTAAAATTATCCTCACTGTCCAATCTTTGTCATTCTCTTCGTTTTCGTTCTCTTCCTATTTCACCTTTCATCCTCCGTTTCCTTGAAACTTCATCACTTTTTCCATATCCTTGTTTCTATATTCTAACTATTTTCGTCACCATTTTTCCCCGATCGTGTTTTAACGCAATATCACCACCCTTTTCATCGCCATTTTTATATTCCTGGTTGCAAATTATTCATTATTTTCTCGATCCATGTGCTTGTGCTACAACGAATTATTACATGGTTTGCCTTTCCAATGAAACAACTTCCTGGACTATGGACTGGATGCGAGAAATTAAATGAATCTGGTTGTAGCGGTGACTCAGGCATTGATACTAGAGGGAAGGTATCACGTGATTCAATATCTGTGTCGTTACTCTTAGGATAAAGTTGCGTAAAGCCTTTTTCAACAGGAAATATTGAAAAAGACGTTAAATTTTACTTTCGACCAATCGTTACTTCCTGAGATTATTAATGAAAAAATTTTCAGTATCATTAAATTACATTGCATATATCAATGACTAATGCATATATAGAACCTATCCAGATACAGATTATATCCGATACAATGTCTTCGATGTAATAGTTATCATCATTGACCGTCCAGTGCCCGATAATCCTACAGAGGATATCGACTCGCATACTATGTATAGAGTGTCTCATATAAAACATATTGACACGAAAACTATTCCGGTATTGTCAAAAATAATATAATTATATTGAGAGATAGTTGATAAGCCAAATATATTTAATTGATATGATTTAGGATGATTAGATTTTTTATTTTTTTGATTAATTGAATAATGAAGTTAAAATGTCAAAAATAATATAATTTAATATTGAGAAATAATTGATAAATCAAATATATTTAATTGATATGATTTAGGATGATTAGACTTTTTGGTTAATTAACGAAATTAAAACGTAAGATAGCATTGGAAGAGGAATATAAACTATTGAAATAGGAATAAAAAAGTAGAAAGTTTGTATGGGTTAAATATGTATATTCTCGAATTACGAGATAATCGAAGAATTACGAAGAATTATGGCTACCACAGTTTGTAATTTTATGGGACACCTTATAATATGGAAACTGATATCGCTATAGTGTTATCGGTTACAGTCGACAACGATAATTATTATACAGAAGACAATTAACACGTTTGTATACGAAGAATTCAATGATATATATATATATAGTAGCAGAGTTGCAATGGTGCTGAAAGTTTTTTTTATTAATATTTCGGAAAATAATAAAGTAATAAAAATTAATAATAAAAATTTATATATTAGGAATCACTTTTTCAAATCTCATGTCGATTAGTCATTAAGATCTTTCAGAAAATTCAAATAACAGATAAAAAGAAACGAATAATCATTTTTTTATATATTATACTGGGTGTTCCAAATTTATCTTATCCTTGAAAATATTAAAAAAATTTGTTTTATTAATGAACGCAGAGATCATGTAAAAATTCATTATTTAAAACAGTTTAATAACATTAATTTTAATTATTATAAATAAATTTTATTATTATTATTATTACTATAAATAAATTAAATTTTAATTTAATTACTTTATTAATACTTTAATTATTTTATTAATAGAAAAGAAAAAAATGAATCCATAAACATAATTAATGAAACGATAAATCATTTTTATTTTTCTTATATCTTTCTTACACACATTTTATTATTACATATAATGTTAATACATTTAAAGGATCAATTATAGAGATTAAAACAAAAGTTGATATATAAAAAATGTTAATCAAAAGTTATTTATTAAATTATAAATTCGTATTAAATGAAGTGAGATAGTTTTTCATGTTATTTTATTTCTATCTTGCTTTAGCTAAATCGCAAACTTCAATTGCTTGTAATTTAATAAATAAGATATTTTTACAAACCAACTTTTGTATTGATTTTTAGTCTATAGAATCAATCCTCCAAAGATATTCCATGAATATATTAATTATCCTGAAATTATTCATCTATTTCACATTTCATGATAAAAATAATAATCAGATTTCCAGCATTAATATTCCGCAATAAGTATTGTTGATGATTAATATTCATTCTGTGGATTCGACAAGATGCGTGGTATAAAATGCTTAGCAAGAATATTATAATATATATATATATAATACCTATCTATCTAGAATGCGAATAGTCAAGTGTTGCATATTTTATCAAGCTATCAAGTTGTTCAATGATGGACTTACATCTCACGTCTGATTTTGTCACGTGAGTTCTAAAACTGCACTATTTATTATTGCAAAATCAATATAATATATGTATATTCCATATTGATTATTTAATATATAAAAAGAAAAGTTGACTATCCAAAATCGAACATCTAATTAATTTTTCTTGTATATAACGTTAAAATTAATTTTTCAAAAATAAAAAGTTTTTTTACAAATATAAAAATCTTTTGTCTTGCAAAAATTCATATAAAAAATTATAGTGAAAGAATTTTCGAATTTACGAAAAAATGATGATTCGAAAAAAGTTTTTTATTTATTTAAATACAATGAAATATCTTTTGAGATTATAACGAAAAAAATTTCCATTGTGAAAAAAGAAATTTAAAAATTTAATTAGTTTACTTTATATTTTTAGGTATAATGGATAAGTCGAAAAACAAACGTGAAAAATTGATTGATTTATATATACTTAAAAATGAGTGTAACAGTTTCTTGTTTAAAATTTAGAAAAGGAGATTAGAATCTTTTGAAAAGGAGAAAGTTCCATAAAAAAAAGTGAAAAATAAGACGTAGTAATGCGATATGATAAAAATACAATTCGAATGTGGTTGAGGTATATATAATACATATATGGTGATTCATATTTTGAAGGTGAAGGATGTGGATTTAGGATAGGAAAAACTAGAGAATTATTTAGAATAAAGAGACTATTGAACTGATTTGTATTATCTTATCGAAATCGATAAGATGGCCTCTATTTTAAATAATAATTACCAAAGGATATTTATAAAAGATATGTATATCATGGAAAATTACACATTTATGTATTTGATATGTTTCATCAATTTAAAGTTTGATATATACTGGAATTAATCAAATTTAAATTAATGAAACTCAATTATTCATTTTTACTTTTTCCATTTATTACATTTCGCATAAAATCTTCATATCAGCAGAATATTGACTCAATTCTTCTTTCAAATGGCATTCCATCTATTTTCACATTGATATATTAAAACGTTCGTAGGATAAAATCCTTTCTATCCAATAAATGGGAATATTCAATGGCATTTCAAATTGAAAACTTTTCGTTTAAATATTGAAATTAAATATTCTAACTTTTGTGACCAAGTATTTTCAAATTTATTACAAAATATTTATAAATTATTGATGCATATAGAAAAGAAAATAAAAATATGAATACTCTGAATAATAAATATGAATATATTTATGTGTGTATATATATATATATATATATATAAATATATTTTACAGATGTATGTAACTTGCTATCATCAATGTAAACATTTCTATATAAAATATCAATTCAAAAATATTAAAAGATATTATTAATAAGTATTATTTAATAACATGCAATAATATGGAAAATAAGATATATTTTTTGTAATTCCCAAATATGAAAACAAATCTCCATTTTTTAACAAAATTTTTTAACAATTTTCTAACAAAAATATACATATATATAAATACAATTGCATAAAAATTCTATCTAATAATAAATATTAACCTTATCTTTCTCGTATCATATAAAATTATCTAAATATCATGAACAATATTAAAACATTTCATTTCTACTTTATCGTCTCTTTTCTTTTCTCCTCCTCCTTCCTCATTAACCAAAAGATCAAGCCTTCAGTTAACGAACGAATCTAATTAACTCCCTTTCTTATTACAGATCATCCACATTGACAAATCCAGAAGATCTAGTAAATGTCGGAAGTCCCTTGAGGGAAGCATCGCCCCGACCGGAAGTACGGGTGGTTGCACCTGCACATCGACCTCCCTCTGTCCTTGCGACGGTCAACAACACAAACAACACCAACAACGGATCTGCGAATCGCAAATCGGTCAGCATACTGCTTCCCGAACACTCGAGTGGATGACCCCAACAGCAACATGGCTTTGTGCATCGTTGCGACAAGGACCCTCCAACGATTTAGGAATCCAACGGAAACGAAACGACGAAGGATAGAAGCAACGATGACGAGACTCGATTGCGCGACGAACGAGACACGAGATATTCGTCGGACAATCGGCGAACATCGGCGGATATCGGCGAACATCGGCGTTGCCAGCCGAATCTAGCCGAATTTAACCGAGCCGCGACGATGATTCGCGAGCAATTTATTACGGGCATTCGTTCTTGGCAGCCAGATCTCTGAAAAAGTGGTCCATCGATATTCGACTAATATAGATTAAACGAAATAGACAGACGAAGTTAATTCACGCTATTGGCAAACATTCAATTATCGGTTTCGCCCCGCCAGCCGGAATTGCTGGATAATTCACGCTGCCGGAGCGATAGCCGAGTAAACGAACCGTTCGTCTGTAATTGCTTTAAAACTAACTAATTCATTCGCGTTATATCTCATAGAATGTCTTGTTTTGTTTTGTTTTGTTTTTATTAAGCGCTACTGCTCTGTCACCGTATGCACGTGTTACGAAAGAAAACTGTATTGAGGATTCTTATAAAGATAATATGTTCGTGTCTATGATGAAAACTTGTTTACTTTCTTCGATGAACGAGACGTGGAAAGATTTTCGGAAACGTAACAACTTTGAATTCACACCGGAACAATTTGTAATTAAATCGTTTTATTATTCCCAAGATCTAATGGAAGCTCAAATTCTTTGTAGCGTATCTTGAGAGTAATAATTTGTCGAATCTTGCACGGTCTGATACCGTATAATGTTAAGAAATATAATCCTGCCATGCGAGAAGGTGATATAGATTTCTTATCTCTTCTTCTTTTGCAAAAATATTTCTTTTTGTTTAAGTTGCATTTATTTCGCTATTTCAGAAATGAAAACAGTGTGATCAATGCAAGAAATTGAATGAAATGAACGTGCAAGAGATTCAAATTATATAACATCATATTAAAACAATATATACATCGGAGTGGAATCATATCTGCAATGGATTCTGTATGTGAAAACGATAAAAAAAGTTTATATATATATAAACTTTTCTTATTATTTTCACGTACAAAATCCATCATCGAAGTGATTCCATGATGTTACAAGACATTGTATAAAATATAAAAATATAAAAGTCAAATTATCGATTGCCAAAATTTAAATTGACGATTACAAAAAAAATATCTGCCAAGTTTCAAGATTTCTTGAGATTCTTGTTTTAAGCAATACAAGATATGAAGTTGACTATATTCTGTCGTCATCCTATCGATATTTATAGGTTGGCCCAGATTTATGTAACTTTGGTCGACATGAAAATCAAAAGCTTCGAAACAAGTCTCGAGGGTTCAAAATGGCGATTCTCAGCGACAAAAGGTTATCGAAGTCATGTGGTTAATGTTTGTTAGTTGAGATATAACGAAAAAGATAGGATTCGTTGCTTTCTGGCGCATATAATTTAAACGTATCATCTTTTCTTTCGTTTGTCGTGTAATTCTTGATAAAAAGATTTCCACAATGTTTATGTAATATTTCATCTCGAATGTTTGTGTAATATTTCATTTCGAATATTCCTCGCTTCTCTCGTTGAATTTCTTTGCGATAATGATAGAATGATCGGCTGATTCAATTAAATGAAAAATCTTTTCGTAATCGATTATAACGCTTCTTGGAAACGAAGTAAGTAGTAAATAAGAAGTGTCAATTTAACTCCTTAATTTTAAGTTTAAGAAGACAGTATTACATGTCGTATTAACAATTGTTATTAAATTTTTCACATCGCAAAAAAAAAAAGAAAATTACGCGATTTAAGAATTGAACTAATGTATTCACTGACAATCCAATTTATTGGACAAATATTTAAATCCTTTTCTTTCTCAATTCGATTATATATTAAAGAGAAAAATGAAAAGATGAATTATAAAAAAAATATTATGTCTAATTGTGACAGGGATGGATATCAGAATTTTGAATGCACTAAACGTTCCATCTCTGAATTTTAAATACGACAATCAATGAATCCAAGAAATCATTCTGAACAAATTGTTGCATTCTTTGTGGCTATTATACTAGTCACACGATAATAATAATACATTGTTCTTTCTTGTTGTATAAAACACTGGAAAGTTACAAGAGAATTTAATGAAAGATTTCGAAAAATCTGAGAAAATTTATGCTTACATATTCACGAAAACATCGACTGCTAATTGACTGTATGTAAATTTATAAATGTCATTCCACTGCTGCTCCAAGTATCGAAAAATGAAAAATCGATTTTACACATAATGCATTCGTGATATAATAATTTAAAGTAAAACACGATAATATCTTGTTTTCATCCGTTGAAAAATCGTTGAAAAAAAAAAAAAATAAGATTTTTACGTATAATAAGAATAATCGAATCGCACATTGTGCGTTATAAACCGATACGATTCGCTCGATCATCATTAAATATGCATCCGAAGAAGAAAGCATAACAAACAAAATATGCTCAGAAACTAGTTTAAAAAGAAGAAAAATTGATCTGATAAAGAAAAAAACATCAAAAAAACTATAAGCGTTTCGCAAAAAAAAGAACAAGCGATCCTGTATCTCTTTTATCATCTTAGGTAAATTAACAAATTTCACCCTCTGATAAGATCTAGCTATGAGTTTTGCCCACGATAATATTATATAATCACAAAAAAAAAAACGCTTAGGTGAAATTAATCGAGAAAAAAAGACTCCTAGGATTCGTTGAAAAATCCTTTCCATGGTGCTTCGTGGATTAGTGCTTGATCGAGTATATCGAGAAGAAATCGTTAAACGAATACTTCGAATAGGAAATTATCGTGGGCACTAATTACACATAGTCTTTAAGATTCTAAATTTAAGGTTAATGCATATGAATCATTCGCATAATTCATCTGCTCGGTGATTGCGACGGAATGTGAAGAAAAGATCGTCATTCGTTCAATAGTTAATGCATAAATAGCATTAGACCAATATCGACGTGTTTCACTAGAGTGAAATGAAAAAAAAATCATGATTATTGCATAATTATTTTTTTAATAGAGAAAAAAAATTTAATCTTCCAAATTTCATGTACAAAAGATAATTTCTGTCACGATAAAATTAATTTTCGAAATGTTACAAAGATTTTGAAATTTTAATTTTTTAATTTTTCTCAAATCTAATTCGAATTTTTTCATCCAAAATTAATTTTATATAATAAGAAATATTATTAATTTGAAAACAAGAATTAAATTATTGTAAATGAACAAAAATTTAAAAAATCAATAAAAACAATTTTTATATTGTTTATAACGTTTTAAAAAAATTTATTGAATAAAATCAAAATTCAAATTATTCACTTAACATCATAAAAAATAATGTTCAATTTCAATTGTTTATATGCTAAGCAATGCTATATCATATTTGATAACAAAAATAGTAATATATTGGTATAAATTAATAAAAAAAATTGGTAAAAAATTGAAATACATCTCATCATTATGCGAACAATAAAGATTAATGCTATTTTATTATCATTATAAAATTATATTAAAATTATAAGTTATAATATAAGTTTATAATAAAATTATAAGTTATAATATTGTAAACACATATGTCAAATGGTCTAATGTTTATTTATACATTGTACTATGAAATTAGCGATGACTTTAAAATTTCTACGAATCTCGATCGATCGCCTAAATTTCAATTTCGTTTTCATTGCGAAGAAATTCTTTTGATAAAATTCTTTCACTTTGGAATTTGGTTCATCGTTCAGCGATACATTCTTGGCTGGGAAAGAAATTTCGAATAACGATCAAGCAAGCCACACGAGATTTTAATTAAGACTCTAGTCCTATAAATACATAGCTAGACGATACGTCAAATGAAAAACTGATCGGCAAAACTGTTAGCCCGAGATAATCTTGATATCCGTTTGTAAAACGTTTGTGGATCGCGTCGAGATTAGATTCTTAGAATATATTATAGATAACCTAAAAAAAAAAGTATTCTATTACAATGATTGAAAAGAAATTCATAAATGAGTAAACATTAGAATGAAAAAACATGATTCAAAAATTTCAAATTTTATTTGAAAAAACTGTAACGTTTACACAATGTTAAAAAAAAGATAATGTTAAATTTTAAGAGTTGTTAGAGAATATAAATCTTTAACTTCTTTTAAAAATCCTATATAACATGAATGATCATTAAATCCACAAAGAATCAAATTTCAAAAATCATGTAGAATACATAAAGATTGCGCATATATAAAAATCAATAAATAATATTAATTACCTCCATGCACTTCCATACATACATTCTGTTAAAATGAATCTTCAAAAGTTGACTTACCGATTGCATTTAAATCTGTATTATCCATTGAGTCGCTAACCACAAACGTATTACGAAAGAGGACACTGGTTTCTGATATATCCGACAATATATTTACATTAATCGTAACGGTCTAGTACACATTCTCGTATGTAGTGTTCACTTTATGGCGATTGTTCATGCACCCGTAGGAAAATTCGGCGGAAAGAAAGAAGGGAATAAAAAGCGTAAAATTAGATAGAAGCGGAAACGATTCGGCGCGAAGAATTCGCGTATCAAAGGAATGATAAAAGTCATCGACCTAAAATTGCTCTCCGCGCGAATTAAAATGAAGAAGAGAAGAATGGAAGAAGTCAAGACCCATTGTGTCGTTCGGCGAGGCACTTCCTGTGCGAAATAGTGTGTGCCAAAAGATACGTTGAATTCTTGTTTAGCGATATATGAATGTTCTCACGAAGATGTTTTTCGGTCTCCGGATCTGCACTTTCGATGCACTAGCGATACGAGTTTGCGACGAAAATCAAACTGTACAACAGAAGAGAATGTCTTGTTATTAATTATTTAAGAGTTATTCCTCGTTGAAAATTCTACACACATATACATTACATACACACTCCTCACGTAGATATCTGGTTGAAAACACAAAAGCCACGTGAAGAATGGTCACGTAATATGACCATTCTTATATCAAATCGAATAAATTTCGTCGAAACATCGTACGCTCAATACGCGAATCGATGCATTCCTTTCTTCCGGGATCGAAGATATAGAATGGCGTATGTTCGTAGATCGAAAATCACGATGCGCCTTAATGCGTTTACTTATAGTTTAGGACAGAGCTTCCCAAACTTTTATGGGTCGAGATCCATATTCAAAAGTAAAAAGAAATTTGAATGAAAAATATCGTTTTATTACTTTTAAAGTTTTTATTGAATATATTTAATTAGTATATATAAATTTATTAATCAGATAATGAGTGAAATATATGAAGGATAAATTTGTCTTCTATTTTTGGTAATGATTTTAATTCATTTATGAAATGGTAATTTTTTTATTTTCTTAAAATTCATTGAAAATTGATTATAGTTGGTATATATAAATGATATATATAAAGTTAATACATATAAATTTATTAAATAGATAGATAATGAATGAAGATAGATATGAAAGATAGGTTTGTCTTCTATTTTTAATAATGGTTTTAATTCATTTATAACATAATTTTTTTTACTTTTTTAATATTTAAAATTGGTTAAAATAAAGATAATTGAAAATTGGTTGAAAAAATTTATTGTTACGGTAAGAATAAAAATTATAAAATTTATTATTGATAAATTTTAAATTGATAAAGTTTTATACAAAAAAAAATAAAAGAATAATTGATCAATTTATGTCAGTAGCTACAAATAATATTTAATATTAATTTTTTTGAATGAAAAATATTTTATTATTTTTTAATTTTTTATTGAATATTCTTAATATATGTATGAATTCATTAATCAGATAGATAATGAGTGATATATGTGAAAAATAAGTTTATTTCTTATTTTTGCTAATTTTAATGCGATCGATTAATGAATTACAATCTATTTTGAAAATTGCAACTTATGGATCTTTAAGTAGATTATAAAATAATTTTTTAGTTAATTTAGTTATAACAATTATTTTTATTTGTAATTATTTATATAAAAAATTTTATAATAATGAAAATTTTCAACGTTTGTTTATTTTAATATAGCTACTTACATAGAAATTAAATAAGTGACTAATAATCTTATGATGAGATATACTCAAAATATTGAAAATTCATCATATGATTAATTATACATGTTAAAAATTTTATATTTGTTATTTTAATATCTCTTTTAAATTTTCATCTCTAAAAATCAAATATTATATGTAATTTGAATAATATATTTTTATATAATCATCAAAATGGAGAAAGATCTCAAGTTATTATATATAAAATGAGGTCGTGTCTTAAAAAAGATTGGGAAACATTGTTCTAGAAGTGACGAATTTCATAATTTACGAATTCAACAGATATATGCAAAACTTTTTCGTTTCTTCTTTTTCATTTATAAAGAGAGGAAAGAGCGAAAAAAAAAAGGAAAGAAAAAGGAAGAAAAATAAATATTGTGATAGAAAAAAAAAACATAGCAACTTAAGACATTATAAAAGTTATGATTTTAAGCAATTAATTAAATTACCACTTAAGGATGCGAAAAGAGAAAAAGAACTAACAAAAATCAGCCAGATTCATTATACAAGCGATCCATTTAGATCGTGATAAATGTACGATCGACACTAGCGCCACGCCTCGAGCTCTAACCTCATCCATTAATCGTATCCACGAAATTATTCACGCTAATTAATTGCGATCCGTTCGAATATCATGATTTAAACAATTGTCGATGAAAGAGGCTGATTAAAACGATACGATGGAATTACATGTACGATGTATGTATTCATATATATGGTAGATGTACGATTATACTTTACATATAAAGCTGATGGAAATTATCCCCACCATCCCCAATCTCAAAAACGATTTTTGTTCACGTGCGTCATTATTATTTATTTTTATCCACGTCTTTATTTTAATTTTCTCGAAATTTCGTGCCGGTCGAATTTCGGTTGTTCAAAACTGGTGGACAAAGCGATTTCAAAAGATCTATATCGGTTTGAAAGTTCTGTTAGCGAAAATAAATTTTTTTTATTGAACAACGAAATTGGTATAAAAATTACACCATTTTTCAAAATGATGAAGTTTTTCAAGGATTTCAAAGAATATTTTATAAATATGAATATATGAAATAGCATTGAAATATAAATATATAGAGAAGTGAAGTAAAGATATGAGTGGTAGCTTAATAAGAAACGCTTTTTACGAAAACAATAATTAATCGTATATACTTAAGTACATATTTGTATCGACGCCAAATAACTTATTCATAGTGAATTAAGTAATAAAGATACTATTATATTATTTAAAAGTTATAAATAGTAAAAAAAAATTATATTATTCAATAAGCGCTATTATATCAGTTAAAGGCAAATAGTAAAAAAAAATTATATTATTTAATTCAAGATATCTATTGTATCTTTATCAATGATATTTTACTCTACATTTGTTAAAAAATGTTGCAATCGTTGTTATATTATATTCATATAAAAGAAAAAAAAAATATCTAAAAAAAAAACGCGAAAAGAAAAAGCAAAAATCTATATCATGACAAATTAATAAGTCATTATAAGAATTTCACAACTGTTGTTATAATTAATTGGTATAATATTAGTTGGTATAATTAAAAAAGTATCAAATCGGTTTAAACAAAGAGATCATAATTCAATATTTATAAAACTAATATTTTTTTATTATGAATATTTTATCATAATTTTTTTTTTTTAATTTAAGAGTATTTTCTATAATTATTTAATATTACTTTTGTGTAATAATTTGTTAAAATAATTTTTTGTGAATAATTAAGAATTATTATTATTTACAAGATATTTTATATGCAATTTATTGCATTGAATCTGCACTTAATAAGAAATAATATTTAGCAATAGAAACATCGGGAATTTTATTCAATTTATTGTTAGAATTTAAAGCGACCATTTTGATCATGTATAATTTTTTTGATTATATATTTTTAACAAAAATTATTGTTAATTATCTTTTCGAATCATATATAATATTTTTTTTATTACTTTTACAATCAATTATTGTATATATAATTTTTATAAACTGATATAATTAATGTGTTTAATTTCAAATTTTGTATACATATCTATAATAGTTCAAAGTGATTTTAAATGATTATAAAAAAAAAATTTATCTTAATAAAATATATAAATAAAACATTTTATTTTTTTTCTATATGTTTTATCACATTCTAAATAAAATTGTGAAGAAAAAAAGAACAGCGCTTTAGCGGATGAATTTATAATATTCCGAGAGAAAAGATCTAAAGATCTAAAAAAAAAAAAAAAATAACAAATGTTACCGAAAAATGCGTTTCTTCGATTTTGTTTTATTTTTTCAATATTATTTATCTATTTATCCAAAATTATTTATCCAAACCGTATAGCTCGTGATCGATCTTTTGAAATCTATTTGTATGGATATCAATAATCGCAATTTTCCTGGCCAACATCGAATATCTCGAGGAACTGTGGACTTCCGTTTGGATCGGAAATACGACGAAATTTATATTTGAAATTTCCCGTCGATAAGTATGCGTACACACTTAACATCGTAAACGGTCGTACGTAAGTAGTTTCTTGTCTATCGTGCAATAATTGATAGAATGGTATAACATAATTTTTTATATCGAAAGCGATTGTCACTGTTTTTCACGATTCTTTTTTATACTAACGTAGATTGAAATAAGAAGTGTTAAATCGATATGGCCTACATTTTGAATAGTGTAAAGTTATGTATAATATATATACATCAATTAACTATTGCGATGGGATATATTTCTGATTGTGAATTCGATCGTAAACGGAGGCATCTTCATCGGGAGACTTATTTTCCTTTTTTTTTTCTACGGAATTTTATGAAATCAAAGGCGCATGATCTTACGTTGAAAATTTTCCTAATATCATTAACACATATATCAATTAGTTATTAAAATTCATTTAGCGTAATTTTACGCCTGTTAAATATTATTATTATTATTATTATTATTATTATTATTATTATTATTATTATTATTATTATTTTTATTATTATTATTATTATTATTATTTTTATTTTTATTTTTATTTTTATTATTATTATTATTATTATTATTATTATTATTATAGTTATCGTTAATAATCATTATTGATTTATTACTATTATGATATTATTCTTATTACTATTATTCCTATTATAATAATTATTGTTACTCGTTATTATCACGATCGAATTAAACAAAAAAATAAATAAATAAAAATAAAAATAATATGCTCTATACTCGATATCTGTGTCGAAAACACCTATACATATATATATTAATGATTATTGCTATATTATATGACTAAAACTCCGTTATAGTAAGAAACACCAACACTATTACTCCTCCCTTGTCCCATCGATTGAAAAAGTATGACGTCGTTCGATAGATCCATAGTAAGATCCACGAGTTATTCGAATATTATTTGAAACATCGTTAAAAACATCCATACTTGTCGAAATTTCGTCTAATGTGAACGACGTCGATTCCATAAATTTTGTACGTATATTGCCTCTCTAGTTTCATTTTTTCAACAAGCAAAAAAAAAAAAAAATAAATAAATAAATAAATAAATAAAAGAAAACCAATACGAATTTTTTAGGAAATTTGAGAGATAGAGAGAAAGAGCGGGAGAGAGTGAGAATGAGAGAAAGAGAGAGAGAATAAAGGAAAGAGAAATAATAGTCGATTCTTGCATTGTGCATAATGAATGTGTATGCGTTCATGTGTGAGACAATGAAAAAGATTGATGAAACGCATTGTATTCATCCCTTGATACATACCTATTTATTTGTACATTATTTTACCGAATAAATGTGCATCTTTTGCATCCTTAAATTTAGAATTAATATATCTTATTTATCCTTGATATATACTGAATCAATCAATTTTTTTTGTAAAAATTAAAAAATAAATGTGATTTAAAAAATTATATTTAGATATTTATTTATATGTAGATAAAAATCAATGTAAAAAGCTTTTTTAACTTATTATAAAAAATATGAAAAAATATAAAAAACAAAAAATATTTTATAAAATTAATAAAAATAATTTATTTATTATTTTTTTATTTATTATTTATAAATTTATTTATTTTCTTTATAGAAAAAATTAAGAAACTTAATAGTTAGAAATAAAAGTTATAAAATGAAGATTTTCTTGCGTAGTATGATTAAAAGAGTTATAACTTATGAAAAGTTAGAAGTAAATAAATAAAATGAAAATTTATTATCGAAAATTTTTTTATCAAAAAGATTTTATTTTATATTTCGATTATTTATTTCATTTTATTAAAATAATGAATGTAAAAATGAATATAGTTTAATGAAATAATCAACAATAAACAATTTACAAATTTTGACGTAAAAATAAAATTAAAAAATAGTATTTTGAAGTATTCAAAAACTTTTTAAATACTCATTAATCATTTGTCAGCAATTTCTTTATTAAATTCACATTTAAGTTTATCAAAATCTTTTAATATTTTTGGTTTTTTTAGATTCTTAAAAATTCTTCTCAATACCTTTAAAATATCGTTTAATAATTTTTATTTTTAATATTATTATATCTTTTTTTAATAATTATTAAATTATTATTTTAATAATTATAAACTATCTTTATAAACTTTATATAATTATAAACTATAATTATAAACTTTTGATAATTTTAATAATTTAATCAAAAGATATGTTTTATTTACTTTATTATGAATTAAAGAAATTAAATATTTTTGATATTTTAAAAAGATACCCATTTGGCGGGAAAAAAATATATTTACAGGTAATATGTATTGTTTCATAAGAAGAGATACATTCACAGATAATTTCTTTTTTAACAATAATAATAACGATAATAACTCTAAAATGATAATTAATGCAGTTCAAGTGACACATATCAGCCAAATTTTATTAAAAAAAAAATAATTATTAGATCGCAGATTGATCTGCTATAAATATTCGATCGATTAATTTCTAGTAATTGATAAATATAAAAAATTTATCATGTTCGATATAATAATATGATATTCCAAAATCAAATTAAGAAAGATTAAAAATCATATTATCAAAAAATATCATTCATTTCATAGATATTAATATATATATATAATTTATTATAAAATGATCTTTAGGATACATTAGTAGATTGATTTGGCTAAGGCTAGACAAAAGTATCTATATCAGAACATATAATAATATACGTAATAATATATTTGAACATTATTTATAGATCATAGATAATTTTAAGCTTATCTAAGTAATATTAGATTATATTTAATCTCTCCAAATTTTATTTTTAATATCTATTATCTATATTAATATCTAATATCTATTATCGCATTTTATTTTATAATTTTTTATATATTTAATAGTATCTAATTTTTAGAAAACAAATTTAATCTTTGTTTTATATTTATTTAATCTTTCATTAAAAAAGAAAAAAGAAATAATAGAATATTCGAGTTTGATGTTCAATATTATTTATTAAATAAATATTTAAATAAGTATTATTTATTAATTAAATACAAAAATTGCAATATTCAATTTGATGTATCTATTTCATCTGTTTTCATTCTTTTGAGTTTTTAAATTTATTTCATAAAAATAATCTTGAGTACTCTGCGTTTTCATACATAAATAAATTCAAAATAAAAAGAGTGGTGGAAATCGATTGAAAATTTCTCTTACCAATTAAGTTTTACGATAATTCATTATAAATACAAAAAAAGAAATATCAAGCTTTCATTTGTCGTGGAATTTAATAATGATAAGATTAATTTATTTATCTTATTATTTTTGCAATTAGCTTTGATTGATATATGTGATAATTTTATATTTTTTACTTTTTAATTAATCTTATTATCACTTATCGATTCTTAAATAAATCAAAAAAATAAAAATAAATTATATCTAATGTATTTAATCCGTATTGAAAAGAAATCTCAACTATTTTATTTTATTGATTTATTTTTATTATTTTATTTTATTTTATTATTATTATAAATATTATGCAATACAATATTATGAAGAAAAATAGAGATTAAAGTGCTTAGTCTTATAAATTATTAATTTTTCTTCATGAAATAACAGAAACGCAGGACAAAGAATAGTGACACAATGCGTGGAAAAGTGATCGTTCTTGGACTAATCCAAATTTTGTGTCAGGTAAAGTTAAAATTTTATTTGCACAATATATATATTTAAAAAAAATACCATAATTATTATATAATATATATAGAATATAAATTAATTGTTACATTTTTAATTTGAAATGAATTATTAGACATGTATAATTTTTATTGTTATATTTATATTATTTATAAAATTTATATAAAAAATGCTTCATAAAAGACTGCTTCATTAAATATTAAAGAACATAAAATCATTCAAATATTTGTTTTTGATTTTTCTTCATGAAAATGATTTTTCTTCATTTATCAAATAATCTAATTTTTTTAATTAAATTTTCGCATAATAGTGGCTTTATTTTATTTTATTTATAGCGATTTAAAATTGTCTTTCAATATAATATAATTGTATATATATAATATAATAATATAATATAATATAATTGACAATTGTTTTTGGATTATTAATAATAATATACTTACAAAAAATTTTATTATGTATCAAAAGAAATAAATAATCGCAATATAATAAAAGAAAAATTTTATAAACGCCTAATTTTAGAGAAGATCATACGATTTTTTAATTCTTTTAGGTTTCTTCTTATGAAATTTTATAAACAATAAAGTTTAAATTAAATAAAATGAATTGTGTTTGCATGAAAAAAGTTTATTTAATGCTAATTTAAAAAGTTTATTTAATGTGTTTCATAATTTCATAATAAATATTGTGAAATTTATAATTTTAATTTTTTAAAATTATTTTTATATTTTTTTTTTATTTAAAGTAGAGAAATATTTCCAAAATTATGTTTTATGTTTTGTATATTTATGTTTTATTTCTTAATTTGAAAGTATACCATTCAATTTGAATAATTTTATATCTATTTATAACACTTCCAGAATCACATGTTTTTAAAAATAATCGATCAAAATTATTTTTTTCTTTCTTTTAATAAATATAAAAATCATATATTAATCGATATTATTGTTACAAAACAGATATCTGGAGAAAAATTGTCTGATTATTATACTGCAGCTGTGGTAGAATATTCACCCATTTTTATTAAGGATGACGTAAAATTGACTTATGAAAAAAACACAGATGAATATATCAATTACATAGAACGAGCAAGTAAACAGGTGAGCTCGATAAATCATTAATTATAATTTTTATGATGTTAATGTAAATAATATAAGTAATTTAAATCCATTTCTAAAAGTATATTTTAAAAATAACTAATAATTTTCAATATTTATGCATTTTTATGAATTACATATATAAAGTATTAGGTTAGGTTATATTTTTACGATACTTTGGAAAACCGTTGATTAATATAAAAATTAATATGAATTTCTAATAATAAAATAAATAATAAATTATTCGATTAACTAAAATGGAATGAAATAACATATAATAAAGATAGATATATAGATTTCATTTCATTTGTTGTGAGTTTAAGTTGCTTATGACTTAATAAATATAATAGAATGTTTATTACTTAAATTAATAGAGAGACTGTTCAGATAAGAATATTTTCGAATAATATTACAGACTTTTCTTAAATGAATTATATATTGAAAAAAATAATCAGTATTTACAATGAAAATTAAATATTTTATTTTCACCATGTCAAATTTTTTTGATACAAAGGAATACTTTGTAAATTTTCAGTTTCATTTTTCACTTTTTTTTAATATTATATAGATACTTTTACCAATTCTATAGTTTTAAATTTAATTAAAAAAAACAGTAAATAGTCTGGTAATAATCCAGATTTGAATGTATATGGATAATGGAGATTTTATTATAATTCAATTAATATTTTTCCATTGTGTTTGTCTCTAAAATCAATCCTCCAAAGATATATAATAGAATATATAATAGTTAATAACAATTTATATCTAAAATAAAAAATTGTACAGAATGCCGACATCATTGTTTTTCCGGAAGCTGGATTGACATCGATGAGCATGCCTATTTTTCACGAATATAATGACTGGACAACAGTGATTCCTTCTTCTCAGGACAACTATATACCTTGTACAGAATCTAGAATCAACGGCATCATCAAAGTAAATATTTCTATTCGACGAATTATTATACATTTTTATTAATAATTCGATATTTATTCAATTTTTATATTTATTCAATTTTTATCTAATTTTCTTTAACTATTTATTCGTAGGCAATAAAAAGATTGTCATGCGCTGCGAGGGATAATCGTATATATGTAGTGATAAACGTTGGCGAGAAGCGATTCGATGAAAAGAATAGCACATGGCATTATCATAACACCAATATTGTGTTCGATCGAATTGGAAAAATTATTGCCAGGTATATAGATATATTTTTGCGACTAAAAAACAATTCTCTTATTCTTTTCAAAATTTGATCTTATAAATAGGTATCGTAAAGTGCACCTTGCTTCGGAAGGAAAATTCGAAAGTCCAGTGCCACCGGATCTCGTTACTTTCGACACTGATTTTGGAGTAAAATTCGGTGTCATTATATGTTTCGATATGCTATTTGAGGAACCTGCCTTAAATTTGACGAGAATAGAAGGTGTTTCAAATATTGTGTATCCTACTGCCTGGTTCTCGGAAGTGCCATTTATAACCGGTATATTTATCATTTTATGATGTTATTTTATTATTATTTTATATTATCGCATTTTATAAACTCGATTGTTATGCATTTTGTATTATATTTATTATAAACTCGATATTAACTTTTTTCGTTTGCAATTATATCTTTCAGCTATTCAATATCATTCTGGATGGGCTTATAGCGAGAATGTAAATGTACTATCGGCTGGATACAATAAACCCGAATTCGGAAGCATAGGAAGCGGTATTTATTTAGGTAATGATATGATATATTTTATTTTTTATTTTTACCTTAATATTTGTTCTTGACTTTTAATTTTACTTATTAATATTATATTGCTTTTGTAAAACTTATTTCTTCTAAAAATTTTTATTATTAGATTATAAATAAGTCCAAAAATTGATCATAAATTTAACATTTGAAGCAAGAAGTAAGAAGAAAACAATTTTTTTAAATTGTTGTAATATACGAAAATAAATTTTTCATAATGTGATATAAATTAAGTACAGAAATTTACAAAAGCAAACGACATTTATTACAGATTTTGAATTATTTTGTGGAATAAAATTTTCTTTTAACAAAAAATAATGTCTTTTATCAATAAATCAATAAATTACATATTTTATCATAGATTAAAAATTTTTTATATATTAATTCCAAATTTGGAAAATTCAAAAATCAAAGCAATATTATAATATTTATATTTAAATATTATATTTATAATCATCTTCTTTTAATTTCTAAAGTTATTAATTATTTACATTAATTTTTCAAATTTTTATTAGGTCGCAACGGAATAATCAACGTAACCATGTCTGTAAATCCGAAGGAGCGGCTTTTAATCTCTCGAGTGCCAAAAACGCCTAGAAAAATCGAAACACGAGACAGAGGATACATTACAAATCAATTTTACTCGAAAAGAAATCTGCGTACATCGAACATCGATTTGATAAAGTTAAAGCACGATCATGTTACATGGTTTAATTCTGTTCTGGTTAATGATTCTATGAATGAAACTATCTGTTACGGTAACTTCTGTTGCGACTTTCTGATTCGTACAGACACTATCGATCCGTCCACTTATTATCACGCAGTTGTGTACGATGGTATTCATGTATTCGAGAAGATATTGGACGCTGGTGTTCGTCTATGCGCCGTGATCCAATGCTCTAATGAGTCGCTCCATTCTTGCACTTCCGTCGACTCGTCCGACACTACGTTTTCGACTTTGAGGATAACGGCGAGATTCGACGATTATCCGAAGATTTTGGTGACACCGACCGTGATCGATTCCTCCCTTATTCCCTTCCAGCATTGGTCATACGATGAACAGATACATGGAGAAGAAACAATTGTCACAATTGCTTTGGAAGAAGAGATGAAAAATGTGATTAACTTCGGCATATATTCCAGGAACTTCCAAAGAGATAAATATTATGAGTAATTTTAGGAATCGATAGAACTCCATAAAATTATCGACTTTTTTTAGGATTATTTTCTTCTTTTTTATTATTTTTTTTCTTTTTCTTTTTGTATTACAACACATATTTAGATAAATTATTATCAAATTATTTTCTAAAAATTTTTGAAATCTAAAATAATTATCTTCTCTCGATATTCTGAATTTATACTTTTACACGCATCACAATTTCTAAATACGTAAATAATATTAAAAACTAATTAATTTTCTAAAAAATTCTGCATTTCAAAATTGAAACATTAGATAATTTTTTCATATAAATTTTAGTGTAAAATTTTGAATTAATTATGATTATTACAAACATTTGATCACAAGTTATAATCGAATAGTAAACAATTGTCAACAAACAATCCGAAGAAATGCGGATTTGATTGATTAATTTTGATGGAGACTCAATATATTCATAACAATAGGTAAATATATTAATCGAAAATGTACATTATGTACAATTATCTACAATATATATACAATAATATACATTAATTACAATTATATACAATAATCTACAGATAACATTATATAATATCAAGAAATAAACGATGAAAGAAAATACTCTCTTTATTTCTATGCTCTCTCCAACTATTCAATTTGTCTTCTTTGTATTATATTTATTTATAAAAGAGAAATCACAGGAAAATGGAAATTTGTGATTTGTTGAAACATTTGATCGTTGATTTAAATCGAAATTTTCAAATTTCCCCCCAAAATTATTATGGAATAGTGCTTAATTTAACTATTTTTACATTTAGTTTATTTGATTCTATATATATATTCATAATAAATACAATGTATACATGTACATAACATCATATTTCTTTAAAGACAAAGAATAATGAAAATAATTTCAAAATTTTTCCTATCGCTCAAATTGTCTGATACAATCAATCAGTATATGTATATTAATCATTACGAATATCATGATTACAGTATAAATACGGAATAAGAAGTAAAAGTATTTATAAATTTTATTATTCATGGTGGAATTTCTTTTATAACGATAAATATTATAAACTTAAGCTTACATTGTAAGCTTTTAGAACGAAAAATTATTTGTTTATACTTACATGTTATATTGATTCTTTTTATTTAAATTTGAGATATTTTTTAAAATTATAAAATTATTCCTTATAATTAATCAGTCTGAATTTCCACATAATTTATCATATATACACGTGTATAATATATTGTAAATAAAACTTATTAAATGAATTATTCATAGTTGACAAGAAAAGGAATATTTACGTAACGATATATGATGCTATACATCTTATATAGATGTGACACTTTCATATTATTTTCATTTCATGATGAATCAACCAATCTTCTTATCAATTGTCGATAATACAGGATATTAATATATTTACTTGATTTATCTCTACTGTCTTGTTCTATCTTTTCTATCTTTTCCTTGTTTTATCTAAAAATTTGTTTATAAGTAATTCCTAACCGATATTTTTATATTGATCTTTTTCTGTATGTGCAGTGTATATTAATTGTATAACTATTTTATGTCTGAAAAATGTAGTTTTATAACGAGTTTTACCATCGATCAATGCATATATCTGATATTTCATCGAAAAATGATGGATTTGACACTACACAACGACCGTACATTCAAAAAGCGAATGTTTGTAACAAAAAACAATTATTAATCATTATTTTTTTACCAAAGAAATGATACGATATACCAATGAATCTATTTGATAAATTTTATATTTTATTATTTTTTTTCATTTATTTCTGTTTTTGTCTACATTTTACTTGTGCATATCAATAAGTAATAAATCCTTTATTTTGATATAAATAGACGACAGTAGGAAATTATATTGTATTATCATACCGAATAAAAAACAGTTTGATAATCATCTTAGAATTAAAAAAAAAAGTGATAATAAATTTATTAGTGTTAAAGTTATATAATTTGTACAACTTTTATCATCGAAATATACAATATTATTATCGAAATTATTATCGAAATATACAATAAAGAATATTATATATTTGCTTACAATAAATATAAAGACTTCACTTTATGTAAGTTTTCGAAACTGAAATGCAAAGTAAAAATTGAATCCGTGAAGAAAGTAAAATAAATTTAATATTATTAATTTTCATTCGTGTGAAGAAGGAAAATCACCATATTTGGAAAATTGAACATATTTGGATATCTGTTAATCCTTGCACAACTTTCGTATCAGGTAATAATATAAAATAAAATTGAGATTTGAATAAAATGAGAAAGTATAGTCAAGATTGGAGAAAAATAAATTAAAATAATATAAACTAAAATATTTCTATAAACAAATATTATTTAAAAATATAAGAATTTTATTTAATGTCTAAATATGCGACTAAATATTATTTAATATTTATATTCGATTTAATATATTTAAAATATTTATTTTCCATTTAATTAAAAAATGTTCTATTTTTTATTTCTTATTTCTTAAATTGAATTATATAATATAATATATATAATTATATATTTAATATAGAATTATATATATAATATAATATAATAATATATTATACTAATAATATTAAAATTAAAAGTTATTTGTTTGAAATGATACTACTGAATTTGAACTTTGAATTTTTTTTCAAAGTAATATTTATGTATATAAATTAATTAAGACAAATATGTATAATTAAAATATGTATATTATTTTTTTATAAAATTTATAAAATTTATAAAATTTGTTTCTATTTTAAAATTCTACTTTTTCCAATATTGAGTATATTATATATAACAATAAAAATACATTACAATTTCAATATATATATACAATTTATATATATTATATATCATTTATTTGCTGTAATAGTGATATAATACAAAAAATCACAGCTTTAAAGAAAACAAATCTGAATATTATCAATTCCTATAAAAACATATAATTAAAATTCCAAATATTTGAAAATTCAATATTTAAAAATTCTATTCATAATAATACAAAAAAAAGATTTTCTACATGAATAATTAAATTATAAATTTTTTGATTATGTTTATTGTAATAAGCAATATATGTACAAAATTTCGATTTTAAACGAAAGTTTTTATGTTTTACCTTATAAAAATCATACATTAATTCATATTATTATTCATTTGAACATAACAAGTGCTTTTAGAATCAAACTCGTCTGATTATTACATCACAGCCGTAGTAGAAATTATTGTCAGGTATATATATTCGCAATTAGAATGAAAATAATTTCTTTGTTCTTTCTTATAAACAGGTATCGCAAAATAAATCTTTGGAAGGAAATTTGGAAAGTCCAGTGCCACCAGATCTCGTTACTTTTGACACTAATTTTGGAGTAAAATTCGGTGTCATTATATGTTTTGATATGCTATTCAAGGAACCTGCCTTAAATTTAACAAGAATAGAAAGTATTTTAAATATTGTATATTCTATTGTCTGATTATCATCAGTGCCATTTTTAATTGGTACATTTATTTTTCATATTTTATTTTCATTAAATTTGGTCAATTTCAATTTTTGTCAATTATCATTTTTTGTTTGTAATTATTTCTTTTAGCTGCTCAATATTAATATGGATAGGCTTATGCCGAAAATGTGACTCTACTAGATGCTGAATATAATAAACCAGAATTTTCGTTCCTGGGAAGCGGTATTTATTCAGGTAATATATAATTATATACAAATTATTCAAATGTTCATAAAACTTTTAGATCTCGAGACTAAAACAAACACAAAAGTTAATGTACAAAAATATCTGTTGAAGCTTATTTATTAGGTCTAAAATTATTAATAATTTTATTATTATAAGTAGATTATGAATATTATGTATTTATGTAAAATTTAAATGTATAAAAATTTATAAAACGCACATAATATGGAAAAAGATATAAAATATCAAAAAATCCAAAAATATAATATGCATTATGATATTTGATTAATAAAACAAATCTCTATTTAAATTCTATTTTTTATATTTATAAAAATTTGATTTTGTATAAAAATCTACAATTTAATTATAAGAAACATCGATCGTCATTCATTTTAATTTTTATTTTTTGTAGGTCATAATGGAATACTCAATACAACCATATCTAGCAACCTCAAAAATCAGCTCCTAATTTCTTGACTTTCTTTGACTTCTAAAAATGCCCAGAAAAACCAAATCAATATCAAAATGGTTGAAGATAGAAAAGAAACTGAAAACAATGGGAAAAAAAACTATATATGAAATGGAATAGGAAATGTTTGACCTTCATGATAAATCAGTAACAGAAGATATTGATTCGATATTAATATCACATAATAATATTACATGGTTCAATTCTGTTCTGCTCAACGATTCGATCACCAGAAATATTTGTTATGGCGATTTCTGTTGCGATTTTGTGATTCGAACAAAGATTGTCGATCCATCGACTTACTATCGTGCAGAGATATACGACAACTCGACGTCATGGTAGATGCTAATGTTCGTCATTGCGCCATGATCCAATGTTCCAATGAATCATTAGCATTTTGCTATTCCATTAATATAGAAATTATATTCTTCACTTTGAATAGCTCTCTACAAGAAGAAAACTCTCTACAAGAAGTGACAGCAAGATTTGATGATTAAGATATTCAAGTATTGCCCAGTCCATTTAATTCTTCTCTTCTTTCCTTTGAACAATAGTCATTCGATGAACAGACATTTGGAAAGCAAATAAAAGTAATCATTACTTTGAAGGACAAGAAATATTCTTTTTACTTTTAGTCTATATGCTAGAATTTTTTCTAAAGATATAAAACACTAAGTTGAATTGTAACTGTAATATGAAATCAATGCAATTTTTTAATAAAAATGATATGTAATTTTATGTTGTTACCATGATGAAAAATATATTTTCACAAAGCAAAAAGATAAAAAAGTTTCTGTTCCTTTATAAAATTATTATATTAAAATAATTTATTAAATTATTATAATAATAGTATCTGAATGAAATAAAAATTATACTTGTATATACAATAGCTCTCTACAAGAAGAAAACTCTCTACAAGAAGATTTTTAATCAAATGTCAATAAACAATTTTATAATGAAATTTAATTTTAAAAAGAAATAAAATCAATGTTCAAAGTTTTTTTAAAATATAATTTTTTAATTAAAGTAGATAAAACAAAATTCTAAATTATAAAATTCAAAATTGAATTGTAAAAATTATATTCAAAATATGAAAAGTAGAAATTGAAAATTGATTTTAAAAAAGACTTGGTATCGACGAATTCTATATATATATTTTCATTAAAATCGGAATTTTTAGGTTAGATAAATTTATTTATATTATATTGAAAAATAGTATTCAAATACTTTCATGCACCATTAATTTTTAAAAATTACTATATGTGGAAATTTTTATAAAAGAGAACGCATGGTATTAATTTCTTTTTTATTGTCTTTTTTTTTAACATAGTGCACAATAAATAACGTTATATATAACGCTATATATAATAACATTATATATATTATACAGTTATATACATTATGTTATTATATATATTATAATCAATCTGTCGTAGAGTAATCAATTTTTAAAAAGACAGATTAATTATATCATAAACAGTGTTGCATATAAATAAATACATTCACAGTAAAAGGACAGCGATAGTTGAATAATATTAATGAATTTATATTAAACATCTTTTTTATCGATGTTGTATCGATAGATTAAATATTTAATTTCATAATTTAAAATATATATGGATAATAGTGAAGAATTTCACGAAATATATAGTAGGATTAATAATCAATAGACGATAAATATATCGACGATACGTCGATGTAGGCATGTCATCGAGAAAAGTCATTATAAGTTGAATACGTGTGGGTATGTAATAACATTTGGTACTCTTTGTAATACTTCTCATTAATTTCTTAATACGCATCACAGATATGTCGTTGTTTATAGAAAACAAAAACAGGATAAGATTACAAACTTATTCGTTGCAATTATCATTAAAATAAGCAAATTGAAATATAACTTCAAATTTTCAATCAACTAAATTTATTTGTATTACAAAACAAAATTCAAAGGATTAAGAATCATAATGATGTAAGTCAATCAATAGAAAATGGAATTATGTTATAATTTTACATTTTAAGTTACTTATATATAAGTTATCTCAACATATTAATTACGAATTAAAGCCATTCCAATATTAAATAGAGAATGTGAAAAGAAAGCTATTTTTTTCCTTAAATATTTATTTGTACATATATTATATTTCTCAAAATAATTTCTATATGACTTATATCACTATAATTCTCAGCTCTCCATTTATCAAATTTATTCTTATTATAAAAAAAAAATCACGCATAAGTATATGCAAATTAAAAACAAAGTGTACTTACTATCAAATAAAAAGATAAATTTCAATTCTATAATTTCTAATATTTCTAAATTATGTATTTGTATATACTTTAGGCTGTTTACAGAACATTGAAATCGATTCAAAACATTCGATATGTCAAATAGCAAAATTTGTCTATACGGATATCAATATTTTTTTTCGCAATTACCAGTGATGTGGAGATCATAATCGATTAAGAATAAATGGCGAGATAACTTCGATTTCATGCTCTGTCGCTTAATTCTCAAGAATTTAATATTATGAAGGTAATTTTTTACATTCGACGTTCAACAATGTCAATGAAGGTGTATTGTACAATACATATGTATAACATTGCTAGCTACAATTATACATGAATATATTATAAACACGATATAAGGGGAATTGATAATCACAAAAATATAATTAACATGTTGTGTAGAACTTCCAGGCTGAACTATGATCATAACACCAACAATTTTCATTAACAATTATGATGAACTTTTATCCAAAGTTGTACAATAAATATTAAACTAACAATTGTGCGTAATTATGATATATTTTACAAATGTTCATCTTTTTTTTATTTTCAAATAAATATTAATATTCTGAACTTGTCGGTTTTTAACAAAAAAAAAATATTATAGAAAAAACTTACTAGATAGATATTTTTCAATTTTTTATGGCCCTGAATTTTTTTGTCACAATAATTAAAGTAAAAAATTAATATGACATTCATAAATAAATTCAAGAAAAACAAATAGCATGATTGATTTATTGATTGACAAAATCTACTATTAGTTGACATAATTTAAAAATTTAATACACTTGCATATGCTACTTTTTTTTCATAAAAAATTCATTTTTTGAAATATTAAAAATTTATAGCAAGAGCCTAAAATAAACTTTCGTTAAAAATTTTAACAAATATAAGGCGTGATTGTTAGAAAAATATTTATCATTGAACACATTCATAGAATATATAATTTATGGAACACTATTAAATTTTATAAGCAATTTAAAATTAAAAATGTTTTAATATTTTTCTACCTGCATTCATTTTATAATTTTAAATAAACATAAGTTATAATATATATGTTCTATCTATACATAAACCAAATGTTTAATACATATAAAATAAAATAAAATAAAATAAAAAATTTTACAATATTACTAAAACTTAATTGTTTTAAAAAATAAGTAAAATATGTGTTTATAGTAAACTTTTAACAATCGTCATTATAATAATGTATAATAATATAGCATTTAATTATATTTAAATATTTGATAGCTGTTTGATCAGCTATTGTTTTCTTCCTTTTATCCCATAACAAGAGTCATTATATCTTTTGATCAACAAATTTCTATTGAAATACAAAAACACACACACTTTAAAAATATACATATATGTGTACATATATAACACGTAATTCTTAAGAATAAAGCCCAAAACCATTAAGTAATAATATTAGCTATATTTAATTCTTTTATTTAAACTCCTTACAAAAGAGTTTATAATTCTGCTTTTTTGTTTTGTTATAGAAGAAGTAGCAACTGATTGTTTGATGACCAATATTTTTAATATGTTCATTGGTCGCAAAATTTCAACAAGTTATAATATTGAGACAGGATTAAATTTATTACAATAAATTAATCTTCAAATTTATTATTTGGCACTAGAGAACAAAAAAAATCAAAATTATATTATCTCATTAATGTATTTATATTCCTTTTTTTTTTTTTTAATTTTTAATCCAGTCTCAGATGAACTTTAATTTAATTGAGGTTGTCTTTATACGTTTATTCATGGTGTATATAATACATATACACATATAAAAACCTCAATTATATAAATATTGATCGAACAAAAGCACATGCTATTACTTAACTATATGGAATGTACTACTAAATCTCTAATCAATTACTAATACATAGAATCTTAACATTATCGATAAGATATTTTATACGTCCTTAAAACACAGTTAAAAGAATTTGTAATTTTATAGAATCAATAATATAAAACTGCGAGCACCATAGATCTATAATAAATCATTCGTAGATCTGTTGTAGAACTTCAGCGCTTCATGTAAAAAATATATGTTAAAGATTCGCGTGTTTCAAACATAAAAATCTCTTGGTCGATGAATGTTAATTTTCTTCATATGTGATATAATTATAATTGCAGCCTGAAATAAAATTTTTAGAAAATACACGGACGATAGATATGTAGCCAAATATGGTCATTAAAATGTAGATACATCATGTACTTTGGTAATTATATCTTTAAATATCTTGCCTCGTTTGTACTTGGATCACTGCAACACAGTAATGCAGTAAAACTGATAAGGTTTACGATTCTTTGAGCTTCTTTTTCGCGATTATTATAAACTTAAAAAAGGAACTTTAAAATTTTACATTAAAAATCGTACAAATAAGTACACAATTTTAAAATTTTAAAAGTTTAAAACTCAATTAATTATATAAACAAAAAAAATAGAAGATATTAAAAACATTTCTACAAAGTGCAAAAAACTCTTAATAAGTTAAATGATAACTTATTTTATTGCCAATATCGAATTTCATTAATTACTATTTAATATTAATAATTAAGTATCCAAGATTTACTAGAAAATGTCATAATATAACTTAAATTTTATTTTTATATCTAAATACTTTTTAAGAAATACTTTCTTGGTACAAAACTCGCATTAAAGAAATAAATAATAGTTCATTTTATAAAAAAAATAATGGTAAAACATTTTCATTAAATTTTTTGTATGACAATAATATGAACATACGTAAAAGAATAAAAGGACGTTTGATCAGTGCATCAATCGTTGATAGAATTAACAAATCCGTGTGTTTTCATTGTACTATAAGAGTACATTCTTCTCTTAACAAAATCCATATTGGTTTTTCTTAGTAATTTCTGTATTTGACATGTCCTGAATTTAATCATAGTTTTCCGATTCCTGTTGTACCAATTTAAACCGACGTGGACTCTTGACACACATTGATCCATGACCTTCTAAGGAGAGACGGCCTTTTCGTTGAAGATATCTCGTTATATAGCGTGCGATTAATTCTTGCGGTCTTATTTGCCATTCGTCCAGAACTTCTTTTGGCGCTAATACCTATAATGATAAATTTAAATTGAAAATAATATAATTTTTAAGAAATATTACTGTAATTATTATATTACAATATGACAAATATATCTAATATAAAAAAATTTTTTAGAATTAAAAATATTAGTATGGATTATTTATAACAAAAATAAGTTGACTTTTCTTTACATTGAAATATTTAAAAATTTATATTTATATTGATTTAAAAATATTGATAAATTCTATTACATTTATTCATGTTTCTATGAATTTAAATATGTAATATGTAAATTTATTATAAATGATTTTTATGATTTCTTTATGATTTTTTTATGATTATGAAACATTAAATATGTTTTAATTTGATTTTCTAAATAAAAAATAAAAAATAAGATAGTATTTTTTAATATTTCTTTACATGTTATTAACATGTTTTTATATTTTTTTTAATTAAATTTATTTTAATTAGATTTTATTCATGTAAATTAGAAAGATTTTTATATTTCACTTTTTAAATTTCCTTATTAATTCTTTTATTAAAAAATTGGTCTTCACAGCGTGAAAATACCTGATCTCCTTTGAATCGATCTATCAATGTTACGCAAACAACAGCAGCTTTGATGCCCGCATGATGTGTCAGAGCAGCAAATGCAAGACTCTCCATTTCTATATTTATTACGCCAGCTTTATGCAGCTTGTTTAAATACTCTATTTTTTCATTTTCCGTGAATTCGCAGAATGCACCATCCATTCGGCCTTGTCCTTCGTAGAAGTCATAAGTACACATCGTTTTACCAATTACAGTATCATAAGGATTGTCACGATGTGCTAATGTCTTCAAATCACGAGCCAGCTGTCTGTCTAGTTTAGCAGGTCTTCTTACCATTTTACCAAGCACGGGCTAAAAAAAAAGATAAAGATATCATAAAATAATTTATTATGTTAGTAATTAAAATATTTTATTAATAATACAATAAATTATATATTAAACGATTGTTTCATACCTTATTAATCTTTTGACTATATGACATAGTATTTTTCAATATTTTTAATATTTTCAACAAATTCTTTATAACCAAATAACACATGATTACATTTTTTTAATTTGGATAAAAAATTATTTTAATAGAAACTAGCTTATATTAATTAATTTCGTAAATTAAATGTATTCGGAAAATATAAAAAGATTTGATTCATTCTTAATTCATTTTGGAAATTTATACATCGCAAAATATCAGCAACACGAAAATAAATCATGAATCTTATTTTATTCTCGATGGATTAGTAAGTTTATATATTTAATATTGTAATATATATAATATATCGCCATTATTGAAATACATAATGTCAAAAATCATGATTTTCTTAAAATAAAGTTTTTTTTCCAGAAAATATGTTGTTACAAGAATAAAAATATGGAATTTTTCTCAGAAGAATTTTTTACCAGTTCCAAATAAGACTTCAGCATTCCATCGACTGCTTCCTCAGAAATTACGACAGTGCCACCTTCAAGACCAATTCCTCCGCATGTACCAATCCTGAAGAATATTGGATCTTTCACCTTTGCATGGTACATCAGCTTAATCACTTCGTGAAGCAAGATTCCAACCGATGGTATACCCATTCCATGCTAAACAGAAAAATATATTCTCTGCATTCTCCTTATGCCAATGTCAAGATATCTTCCCATCAAAACATTTTCAAATTCTTTTAAATAGTCATTATTTGGTATATCTGATATGTATGTGTATATATGGTGTAATATGCGTCTAGATTTCAAGATTAGAATCTTATTAATAAAAGATTATTGAAATCAAAGTTTGAATCATGTTGAAAAAATGTTATTTAGTTATACATGTATATGGATCCGAAATTAGCAACAATTTATATAGTAGGTCATCGTTCGTAACTGTTCTTAATATCTTTCTTGTACTCTCTCTCTCCAATGTATTTCAATAAACTCTATCTTTATCTTCATATATCGCAAACTTAAATTGCTTATAACTTAATAATAGATCTTCATCAACATTTTTACATAGCAACTTTTATGTTTGTTTTAGTCTCTAAACCGTTCAAAGATGTCTCGCAAATATTTTAATATTCTATATATATATAAAGATTAAAAAAAGAACTTGCAGAACAATTCTTCCCTTTTTTTCTTTCTTTTTATTCGTCGTATGATAAATATTGCAATTTCTTTTCACGCCATTTGCAAAAAATGAACTACATTATGATCATGCAATTTATTTTATATTTCTCGCGTCATTCAACGAGTTATCACATTTTACGGATGATGTACACAAAGTATCGATAAAAAACAATTTGTTCTATAGACGAATTGAGTAACTGGTGCATGGTGAAAGAAAAAAAGCGTATGATTAGCGTGAAATACTCAACTCCATGTTTTCCCTTCAACTGGAATCTTGATTATAGTTTGTATAGCTCAAGCATATTTTATCTGATATATGATATTGATCAATATCTTCTATTATTAGTAAAACGAATTTATAATTCTTAATTGTTCTATTTTTTATTATATCGATAGATACGATATGAATAATTAAAATAATAATAGTTTTATAAGTAAAAGTTTTATATTTAATTAAAAGCTTTTTATTAATTTAAAGTTCCTTGAAAACAAGATTTTTGCATGAATAATATATTTAATTTAATATTATTTTTTATTCTCTAATCTTTTTAAAAGAAATTAATTTTTAAAGTAAATTCAACAAAATCAACAAATTATCTCTTTAAAATAATATTGAATATAATATTTTATCTTTTATTTGTAATATTATGGAATATTATTTTAAATATTTTCAAATACAAACATGTTTCAACGAAAATAAAATCCATAAAATAAGCAAAATTTTAATGTTTATTCTTCTTGGATAAATTTGCTTGAGAATATTATTTTGAATTTAAAGAGAACAATTTTCAACATCTTTCCAAATGTTTTTTCGGCATAATTACATAAGCTAATTATACACGTATTCCAACGGATCTTCGAAATACAATACTCGATTAAATTGAATCCGATTTAATCATGAACAAATATCGCATCAGAATATTTCATTTGATTTCAATAAACTTTTCAATTTCAACTATGCTTTCGTTCGAAAATGTAATATTTAATTAAATCCAGATTACATAATTGTATAAATACATGACATTTTGAAAAATAATTAATTCAAATTATAATGCAAGAAGAAAATGATGTATGTTTATAACATTTTGTAAATTATACATTATACAATTGAACGAAATTTCTATATATGAGGATAAAATTAAATGGCATTTATACATTTTTCATATTTCTACCTTAAATTTATATCTTTAAATATTTCGCACGAAATTTTACTCTTTTTTAAATTTATGTAATAATCAGAAAGATCGAACAAGATATTAATTGTTAATAATATATATATATATAAAATTGTATGTATATATATATATATATATATATACATATATACATACAATTTTTAAAATTAAAAACAAAAATAATATTATATATACTTACACTAATAGAAAGAACCGGTCCAACTTTATACATAGAATAACGATATGAATACTGACTAATATCAAGAAGTGTTGTTCCGGCTGGAAGCTTATGACCTATTTCCTTCATTATGTAATTAGCGAATTGTTCCATACGCTTCGGCGTTCCTCCCATACACACAAACTGTAAAACAAAATTATACAATAATTTAAATTGTATTCGTTTATTTAATTCTAAAATAAAATATAATACAGTAATACTCCATTTATATGAATCTATCAAGGAATAAATATGTTTACATAATTCTTGATAGACCTTCACTTAATTTTCCCACCAGCTATGATTATATAAAAGAATTTCACAAAATATTTTCTGCTAAAATGTATAATAAATCAAATATTATATCTTTGTTTGTAAGTTTAAAAACAATTTTGTAAGTATAATAATTGTTTGATGAATTAACTTTTATATATTTTATATCAGAGATATGATGTATATTTGTAATTATATACATAATCCTTAACTAATCCTAACTAAAAAGTATTAAATCATTCTTTACAATTTATAGATTTTTACTATTTTCTTTGCGATTTTGATTAATTATAATTTTTCCAAAATTCTTTTTACATATCATTTAATAAACTTTTTAACTTATGTTTCATTCAATTTTAAAAAATTTATTCTAAAAGATAATTGAAAACTTTTTGCTAGAAATTATATTATATTATAAAAATGCTCATATAAATGGAATTATTCTTTGATAGCTCAGATAACAAAAGTATAATTATTATTTTAAAACTCGCTTATTGGTGACAGTTGTGTTTTGCGTAAAATCTCGACAATAGCCATATTTAAAAGATTAAAAATTTAAAAGATTAAAGAATTTTATATATTGTTTTGTTTGAAGAAATATCTTCCGTAAAACACATGCATCATACATCAGCGAGTTAAGAAATCGCTTTCATCGTTAAATGAATGAAACAAAACCAGAACGAGACGCGCCTTTTGGTGTTTATAATTTGTAACGGTGCAATTGCTCTTTTCTGGAGGAATAGAACATTCGTACAATTCGTGAGTGAATATAGTTGGCGTGCGACGTACAAAATAATACCTCGTGGATTACCACCTCCTGTATAGTCGAGGAATGCGCATAGAAGTTTCGGCTATTGTTCTATTTAGGTCATGAAATACTGTACTTTCTTTTAATGGCGAACTCCTCATTGATCTGTCTATGAATACACAGTTTCGTTGATAACATGAAAGGATGCCGCGATAAAAAAGAACGTGTTTGTAAATCGTATGTACGATGACATTCATTCAACGCAGATATTTAAAAATCAAAATTAATTTAAAATTACTTTTTTAATTTGAAAAATAATCTACTTTTGAAATAATACTAACTATTTCATGAAGCGTTCACACAAAAATTAGATTATTATATTTGCAATTAAGTGATTTATTTATATATTCGTTCCATAAAAAATTCATTTATAAGTTCATTTATCGTTTCCTATGATTATTTATCATTTAATTTTGATGAAAATAATTAGTTAATATATAAATAATGATTAGTAGTAATAATCAAATATTTATATTATTATTATTGCGATTATTATTATTAATATTATTATTATTAATATTAATATTATTAATATTAATATTATTAATAATCTAATCTGAATTTTATTTAAAAAACAAATTTACAATTAAGAAATAAGAAATATTTTGTCAAATAATCAATTCTTCAATTTATTATTTACTTAAAGAAAGTCCAATTAAAGAAAATAACATTATTTGAAACATTAATTATAAAATAATAATTATTGTTATTTAAAATAATTATTTTTAAATTAATATTTGAAATAAATTTCGTCCATATTTGATTTGATGGCATAATATAATAATATGTATAATAATTAATATTATAATATTATAATATGTATATATTATGTAATAACATAATATAATAATACTTCATATTAGTGAATCAATAGTTTATTAAGAAAATGTAGATAAATTTGTTTATTCGCTTTAAAAAAATTCAATCTTCATTTATATCGAATGTTTAAATTATTATATAAAGAATTAAAATATCAATGTCAAAAATTTTCTTCATTATCTTCAAAAACTTTGTGCATTATCGAATTTATGAATCTCATAGTATATATGATGACTCATTTAACTTTACTATTTGAATTTACTTGTAAACGGGTAATATTTCTGAATAGATGCAAATATTTTCAGAGTTATATAGCATTAAATGCTAACGATGCAATTTTTCTACGGCTTCAAGTGATCTACGATAAGTTTCACTTTTAAATATCTCAAAAGGAAATAATCAAGTATTGTTAATAATTTTTTCAATATTTAATATGTTTCTTGTGTAGAATATACATCATGTTATATCACTGTTAATATGATAAATGTGATAATAAAGATAATAATGTTTAAAATAGAGAAGTTTTATATATATAATTCAACAAAAGTTCCATCAGTTTTTACTGAAGAAGATATATATTTTTATTTCAGTTTTTAATGGAATCGCAAATATAACAGATTACAATTTAAAAATTCAAGATAATAACTCGATGAAATAAATAATTTGGTAAAATATAAAAATAGAAATTCTTATATTTCCATTTTTTTTAATTTATCAATAATAGATCTTTTTTATTGAAAATTGTTTATCTAAGAAAATGTGACAAGTTATTTAAATAAAAATCAAGCAGAGTAATTTTTAAACAATTAAATGACTGATATAGATCTATTTATTAAATTTTTTGAAATTTGTTTTGAAAAAGAAAAAAAAGAAAAGAAAAAAAAATTTATTGTCTCATAATTTGAATTTTTATTAATCTTGTTATTTTCACAAGAAAGATGTTATATGTTCAGATGTTATATTCTCACATATATTTAAAATAGATTTGAAAATATATAAGTATTATGCAAAAATAGTAAAATAAATAAATATATATTACTAAATCATAAAATAATTCTATCTAGATTTTACATTTAACCATCTACTATCTAGATTTTACATTTAACTATCTACTATAAAAATCTATATTTACATAAATATTTGCAATTCATAATAATCCAATCAAATAAATTAATATACGATCAATGATTAAAATATTACGTCAAATATGCAAAGTGCAAAGATGTACGATGTAATCGTTCATTGATCATAATAATAATACGCAAAATAGAAATCAATAGATTTGCTGAAGCTATATAACATTGGAAAGACAATAGAAAAGAACGCTCTAATAATAGACACTAATATATAACAATAGAAGACAATAGCACTCCGTAGAAATATTTGCTATTTATAAAATAAAATTGATAATAAAAGAAACTAGAAAAATTAATAATTATTATTACAACGAAAAAATTCAACACTTAGAAAATACAACAAGAAAAAATTAATAATCAAAAAGAAATTTATGAATAAATAAAAAAATGATATACGATGTAAATAATAATATAAATAAAATATAGTACTAGTTAACACAAATAATATAGTAATTTTTAATATTAAACTAAATTTATAGTTAGAAATAAAATTTCTTATTTTTTTTCTTTCTTACATGACATCTTGCGACTTTTGATATTACAAATCATTTTCTAAGAATTAATCTGATTAATTTTAATTTTTTATTTAATTTCTTTTAAACATTTTAAACATGTGTTTATTTCTGATATCGCAATATTTTTCTAATGATTATAATATTTATTAATTATAATATTGATATTTAATGAATAAAAAAAGATGGCTGAAATTACATCCATTACATTGCAAATATTTAGAAAATATTAAAAATAATTTTTTTTTTAATTGTGAAGAAAGAAATCACAAATTATTAAGTTACCCAAATAAATAAGATTAATATTATATGAAAAATTGAGAAACACTTCTATTTACTACACAACACTTTAGTGCGTAGTTTTTCATTATCAGTTATGCATTAAGTAACCATTAAACATTATGTCATACTTTGTTTCATAATATTGGCATAATGATTACTACTATCAAAATATAAACATAAACATAAATATTAATTTGTTGCATTCAAAATTTAATATCTTTTTAATTATTCTGTTTTGGTGAAAAAATTGATTATTACTTTCATTTACCTTGACATCTCCAAACATTTCAACGAGATCGTGGGAACCACTACCCAGAGCAAGATGATATAATATATCTTGATCCATAAGCTCAATATTTGGGTTTCGAAGTCGCACGGATCCATCTCTGTATCTAAAAAAAAAACAAGAAATGTAAGCAAAATTAAAGAATTATAAAAAAATAAAATTTTTTCTGAAAATTTTTAATTTTTTAAATTTTTAATTAAAATAAAAAGTTATATGATTCAATACAGAATTCAAAAATAATAATTTAATTAATTTGTTGTTTTTACATAAATTCAATAGAGATTTAATGATACTTTTGTAAAAGCAATATATAATTATGAGATTCATCACGTCATAATTATAATCCAAATAATTCCTAATGAAATTCTTACCAAATTATTAATATCATTGATGACGCGAAAAAAATGATCCCTTTGATGATTAATAATAGTATGATCGAATTTTTTAAAACTAAAATTTTTTAAAAAAAAACCTTTAAATTTTGTTTATTTTTTTTTTCTATTTGGCAATAATCAATACAAGTTAATTAAATAATAAACTTATTATAACTTAAATTACTTGCTTGTTAAAATGCATTGTTTTATTTTTGGAATTCGAATTCAATCATTTACTTCTCTAAATCAAATTTTAATTTCTATTATATTTCGAAGTATATATATATATCATTTGATAACTCTCTTTTTTTTTGAAATATTATAATTATTTGAATGCTGAAAAATAAAAGATGAATGAATCAATTATCTCAGTCTTGGAAAAATTTTACAATTAAATTTTATATGATATGATTTATATGATAATAAAGAAAAAGAAAACTTTTTTTTTATTTTTTACTTATTATTTATAGATCATTAATAGATTAATTTCATATCTTTCTTTCCTTTTTCCTCTTAGATAACTGTTAAATTGAAAATTTAAGTATCTGTTGCTTTCGTTAAATTGCAAAATCCCATCCCGTAGTTTGTAATTGAACGATATTGCAAAATTAAGTTTAGTCGTAAACGAGAAGCACGATTTCCTGGTAATTAAATCAAACTTCAGAATTGGACATATTAATGGAATCGTAATTTATGCAATTAAATATAAGCCACAATTCAATTAAAATAGTATCATTAATATAGAAGAGTACTATTCTTATTTAAAGTAATAAATCTCTATAAATAATAAAATAAAAAATTTAATTTAATTTCTAATATAATAAATACAATTTCCTTCTAATCAAATGAATTCTATCATATATTAGAACTATTAAATTTAACTTAACCTAAACTTATTACTCAAAACAAATTTTTATTTTTGAAACTGCTAAAATTATATACAAATATTCGAAATATAATTCATATTTTTATTTTTAATATTTATAAAAATATCTATTTATTTATATTCTAATTAATTATATATATAATATAATATTTACTTTGATATACTATAATATATATATTTGATATACTATAATATATCTACATATTTTAATCCTAATTATCTAATAACTATTATATATATATTTATATTATATTTACATATAATAATGGAGAATGCTAGATTTAATGTTAATTTTTTTCTGAAAAAGTAATTATTTAATTTTCACTTTTTATTAAATTTACAAGAATATTTAGAAAATATTAAAAATATAAGATTATATAAATTTTATTATTAGATATATATTAGATTATATATATATATATATATATATATATAATATATATATATATACATATATA